AACCATTATACCCTGATTTCCCATTTTCAATGGGTTCAGGGTATAAAAACAGTAAGAAGGCTCTAGTCGACACTTCTCGACTAGGAGATACCCTGATCCCTCCAAGCGCTCTGCTAACTGCGCAGTAAGCAGCGGCTGCGCTTAGGTGGCACTGCCGTGTGGGCAATAATATTATTAGAATTTATTTGTTGAATAATTTCATTTGTAGACGCACAATCTTAATGAAACTTTCGGAAAGTAATTATAAAGTTTGAGTGTACATTCAAAAGAACAAGTCTCTAGCACTTAATATACACAGTAAATCTGCAGTTTCCATGTCTAAAAGTATTCAAATTCGGCTGAAAAAACCAACAGGAATTTTTTGATTATTCTCCATAAAAAACTTATCAAATTTCAGCTCTCTGGCTCCTATAACTTCTTGGATCTAGGCATTCATATGAACCGACGGACAGACAGACGGACAGAGTTCGTCGTCCTGATCAACAATATATATACTTTATGGGGTTTTGCGATAATTCCTTCTGCCCTTTACATACTTTTCTCAAAATCATTATACCCTGATTTCCCATTTTCAATGGGTTCAGGGTATAAAATTTATATATACTATAAAGAGAGTTTTTACCATAACAAACTCGATCTGCGCGGGTCCAACATAAAATCTGAATTCTGTAGCTCTTACAGATTCGGAAATATAGTATATATATGGGATATACCACACCTCTTCTGAATGCTACACACAATTGGGAAATCCAGTATACCAATGAGTATAAATCTAAGGTATAAATACAGCTTATATTATCTTATATCAGATTAGAGTCCCGCTCAAATATAGATAACATACACCATTGCATAGGAATAAAGGTACTCATTTAAAACTAGTTTCCTCACCTCGCCTTATATAATTTGATTGACAAATCTACACATAAATACAATACCGATTATTTCATTTAAAATCTGCAGTTAAATAATTAGTTTATATTAATTATTAATAATTGCAATTGAAATGGCTAATGAATTGACGCAATACTTACACCATCAATGTTGACTGGTTGCCACACTTCAAATAATACCGTGGTGGAAATACATAATCCCATTTGAGTAAATATTGTGCACAACACAGCAAATAATTACATTAAATTGAATTTACTTCAGCGTTAAGCTAAATAGTATAAATAGAGTAGACTCCGGATTAGCAGACACTTCAAATCAACAGTAGACGACGAACAGATACTACAATGTCTCCCAAACTCCTCATCTACTTGACGTTGGTGGCCATGCTAGTGGTCTTCACCGCACCTGCGGCCGAGGGAACGTTCCTTCTCTTTGCATGCCTGACAGGGTCACCGTTGTGTCCCTTCCGGACTACGACACCAGTATGTCCAACTCCAGACACAACATATGATCCAATAACTCGCGAATGTGCATAGAATGCATCGAAGTCAAAGACTGGAGTATTCTACGGATTATATTTTTATGACGGGAAAATTTGAATTGACTATAAAATAATTTTGAAATAATAAGTTTGGCAGGCAGAAGGGAGTCGTAACTGATTTTTGCAATGAATTGTACTTTCTTTAAAAAATAAATAACGAAATCTGGCTTACCGAAAACAAATTCTTCCTGTATTCTTTAACTGTATACATTAACAACGCAGTCTATACGCCAGTTACAATAATAAAGTTGAACCCATTTTTGGTCTAATCGAATTTCCCAGCTCAGCGGTTCTTAAAACTCACAGGACTCCTAATGCTTCTGTTGTGGAATAATCTCGAAAAACTCATCATCAGCATCATCAAGTAAGCATTTGACCTAACGGTAAACACAGTCGTCGGCTGATCGCAC